TGATTACTCACTTTTTATTTGAATTTAAAAATAAATAAATTTAATTTTCATTATATATTGTTTTTACCATCCAAGGGTATGGTCAAATGGTTAAGATTTTGTCACTCTTAATCAGATGTCTCAAAATTTGAACCCTGAAATGAAGTACTTTTTTGTGAAGAGTGTTCGAAACTTCCCCCTCCCCCTCCCAATTTTCATTAAATATTGTTTTTACCACTCCAAGGGTACGGTCAAATGGTTAAGATTTTGTCACTCTTAACCAGATGTCTAGAAATTTGAACCCTGAAATGAAGTGCTCTTTTATGATGAGTGTTCGAACCCCCCCCCCCCCCCCCCCTAATTTTCATTAAATATTGTTTTTACCACTCTAAGGGTACGGTCAAATGGTTAAGATTTTCTCACTCTTTAACCAGGTGTCTCGAAATTTGAACCCTGAAATGAAGTGCTATTTTATGATGAGCGTTCGAAACTCTCCCCACCCCACCCTCCCCCGCTTAATTTTCATTAAATATTGTTTATACCACTCCAAGGATACGATCAAATGGTTAAGATTCTGTTACTCTTAATCAGATGTCTCGAAATTTGAACCTTGAAATGAAGTGCTCTTTTATAGAGACAACTAGAACCCCCTCCCCCCTCCCCCTTTTAAAAAAAAATTATAAATCTTAATTAATCAGACCAATGAAATTTAGATTGTTTATTGTTTTGTTTTTCTTCTTTCTTATAATTAAATTCATTTTTTTCTTTTCGTGTATTTTTTTTCTCTCTAGAGAATGTGAAAGCGGAGGAGGAGGAAGAGGTGGAGACAGAAAATGAAGTGGAAGAAGAGCCAAATAGCAAGGGGAAAAGAATTATCAAAGGGAGAAGATGAAAACTCAAGATTATGTACTTGATGAAGAAGGAAAAGAGGCAGCTCATGAAGTAGAAAAATCATGAATTAAGAATCTATGTTTTTGTCATTTTCATCAAATTATTGATGTTGTTTAATTATGTCATGTTTTTAAATTTTCAAGTTAATTTTGTTGCAAGGGGTATTAGAAATAGCCAAGAGGGGCACTAGATATGTTGCTTTTTTATATCTATGAAATTGTTATCATTTTGGTTTTGTGTTTGCTAGAATTGACTTGTTAATTTTATTGAAAGACTTATATTCTAATAGTATATGAATGTAAATCAAACCAAGAAAATAAAATAAATTGAACTATTAATTAAATATCAGATCTAGAAAATAAGAGAAATTTAAATTGTTGACTTCGAGTCATGTGATCAAATTTACTTTCTATGTTGTTTCCTTAGTAGAGAAGGGTTTGTAGGGCTTATTTATTTATTTTCATGTTTTGATCCCTTTTTAAAATAAATATTTAACTCTAAAGCGTAATTAAAGAATGAGCTCTATGAAAAAAATAAACGTAGAAATCAAGATATATAAAATGTAAACATGTCGTGAAAGAAAAACAATTATATATAAACGAATGACAATTCTATTGATAAAGGCACTGAAAATCAAAACACAACAAATTCATCCAAATTAAAATCCATTCGAATTTATAATTCTTATTCAAAGATGTTATTTTTTAAGTTTCTGATTTAATGAATAGTTTTTAAAATAAATTTCTCAATTGCCTCCTCAGATTGATAATAATATTTGAATTAATTAATAACAAGAATAAGCCTGGGATCCCACTTGAGCAGTTATGCTTTAATTTGGTCAAAATTCAAGAAATCTATCATGGATTATGAAAATATGAGTTTATTTATTATTATTTTTGCATTTTGCATTTTGCATCATGTGTCTTTCTTTTTTCTTTTTCTTTTTTTGTAATTTACGCTATATATTTTTTTTTTAATGATTTGAGTTCTTGTCTTTTTGCTTCCTTTCAAATTAGTCTTTCCGTTCATTTTTATTTGTCATACTAAAAATATGTATTTATTTTTACTTGTTCATTTTATACCTATTTTACCTTTATATTATTAAGAGAATTTCTTTGAGGAAGTAATCATATTGATGGGTTCGCTTATAGAATTCCTTAATGCTGTCTTATTTCGAACGTAGTTTGATTCACGTGGATAGCTCAAGGTGAAACTAATAAAGAAAAGTTATTGAACAAGTAAAAAATTTCAACTTATTTATGGAAAACAGTTATAGTTTAAAAATATAATAATAAATAGCAATATATCGTTTTTATAGCAAACTCTCTCCTTCTCTCTCACCCTCTCCGTTAAACTCCAGTGTTTTCTTGCACAAATTCTCCGCTTCATCAAATTGCTTCGGCCAAGTACCTGATGATTTTCAATTCAGCTACCTAATTAGAGCCTAAGAATCACCTATATTTTATTCAATCAAATATAGATGAGAGTTTTGTATTTTATATTAATTATATTTGAAAATTGTATATATATGTTTGTATCAATTATATTTGTATTAATATGAATATAATATGTATTTTTATATCAATTGTATTCAATTAAAGATATGATGAATACAGTTGTATTCGTTGTATGCCAAATACAATTGATACAGAATAGAAAATAGTTGTGCATTAAATAAATACTTAATACAATACAAAATAAATACAAAATACAATCCTCTCTCCTCCCTCTCTCATCTCGCTCGCCTTCTCCTCCTTATCTCGATCTCGCTCGCCTTCTCCTCCTTCTCTCGATCTTGCTCGCCTCTCTCTTCGTAATATGTATTCATTTTGATACACATCATTTTGTATTTGTATTATTATTATTTTCAAAATCTACAAAAAAAATATAAAAATACAAATGCATAGCAAATAAAAATATTGCTACGAATTGTAATTATTGAAACTGTAGCTATGAAGTTCTATTTAAGGCCTAATATTTGTTGTTTCTGGAAATTTTCAACTAATAAAGCCTTTCCTTTAGGCCCAAATTTTTTTTGACTGAAATTTTATGATTTTATTTTCACTTAAAACTAACTTGAAGATTATAAACAAAAAGGTACAGAATTTATATAATAAATAATTTTTTGCTTAAAATAATACTGAAGATTATAAAAAAAAAAAAAACAGTAAGGTACATAATACTGTATAAAAGGAAAAAAGGAAGAAATACTATTTACTTTTTATCAAAAATATTTTAGACTTTGAATTAAACAACTCAACTTTTTATATTAATAAATAAATATTTTACAACATCATCTAAGATAACGTAGTACAAACAAATGGCTAACGTTGGATTAACTAGACTTCACTTTTACTTTTATAAATAATACTTAATATTTATTATTTAAAATTAAAAAAATTATGTCTTTGAAGAATATTACTCAAAAACAAATTGTACATTAGAAAAAAAAAAGACAACTCTAAGTTATTATTGTTCTTATATATAGATGTGTATATTTAAGTGTTTTTATTAAAATTTAGATTTAGGCTACTAATTTTATGAGATACATATGTTGATTCAATGTTCCAATCATTAGTACACATTAGACTATTAATTTTATCAAAACCATACGTTGACTCAATATTCCAATCTTTAGTACATTTAAGCTATTAATTTTATCAGACACATACTTTGATTCAATATTCCAATCTCTAATCCACTTATAATTAAGACACTATAATTCTAAGTAGAATGAAAAAAACAGTAACATAATCAACATTCATAATTCAATGTTGATTCTTGAATATAGCTTACTGAAGCTCTATTGTGATTTTGATTTTTGAATAGGTTAGTGAATATTGTTATTGTATATTATAAGTTTTATGTAAGTGACATTGTATTTTCTCTTAAATAAAACTTTTTGGCTTTCTTGATGAATTTTTTTAAAAAAAGATTACTTGCTTATTAAAGAAGAACATGAGAGGCCAATCAAGCAACAAAGCATGAATTGAGAATTCATGTTTTGTCATTTTTAAAAAAATACTGTTATTTTTATGCATGTTTTAATTATTTTTTTCGGGATTATTCTTATTGATCGGCTTGCTTCAAGGGAGACCATAAATATTATGGTGCAATGATAAGTATCTTTTATTTTTAATTAAAATACCTGAATTTAATATTTTTTGGGGAAAAAAATATCTTTAATAAAAAAAAAATTATGGCACTTCTCGACGAGAATTCAAAATATCTCCATTACAACAATAATAACAATAATATCAAGACTACTGCCCACTTAAATAAACAACCCCCTACCCAACCCCAAATCCCAATATTCATTCTTGTCAAGTGTCAGACAACAAACAATCAAACATAGGATGATTTCTGAATTTGGTTAACAAATCACAAAATTATTGATTTATTGATAATGGGTTATTGATTTAGCCGTACAGTAATGATATAGATCTTTTTATAATGAGACCATCAATTTTTAACGGTTTGAGATTTTCCTTAATGGGTTAATCGAATACCCGATAATAAATTGATAAATTATATTTATACCATTCGATATATAAAGTTCTTGACTTAGAGTTTAGTTTCATACTTTTATTTCTAGTTGTCTTGAACTCTCGATTATTCTAGTGTTTACTTTTGAGAAAGATGCAATCTATCAACTCATATGCATGGTTCATTTGATTTGTCACCTTATTTCTAGGTGATTTTCAATGATTTTTTTGTTTCAAATCTTATCGGTTAAACCGATAACCAAACTGAATATCTACTACATCATGTGGAGTGGCACAACATATTCCTATTCTTAAGCATCAATACAATCACTCTAATGATGTCTTTACAAATGGACATCAATTTTTCATCTATGTCTAATGTCACACTAGTTTTAGGAATAATGAAACATCATGCACAAATAATATACTAGCAATTTGTCAGGTATGAAACAGTCACAGTTTCTTGAACAGCAATAAGCAATAAAAGAGCTGAAAAACAGATATTACAAAAATCTCTACACATTTTTAGATTTTTAGTAGTTGTTCTTGCTTTTCCCGTACGCGTTGTTGTATGTACGTCGAGCCACTCTTTACAATCGTATGATGAATTGTTACGCTAATTACACACGAATAGCTAACAATACGTACACTAATAGGTACCTTACCATAGTATTAAGTCACCAAAACAAAGCATCCGCAGCATTGTCTCACATTTACAAGAAAGGTTTTGTACACTACAGAAATGAGAGATAAAAGTGTACTATTCCCAAATGATTACGTCGAAATCCCTTTTCAACATTTGAAACCTCCACAAGCGAAAAGCCAAATGATGATAATGAAAATAACAATAGCACCTCCAACCATTAGTTTCATTTGAAGGTTCTGAAACCACATCTTGCGACGAAGCTGCCTTCCTTGCCTCTGGAAGCTGTCAGCCTGAGCGCATTCACAGTTGCAAATCAGCACAATTGCAAAGGTTGTTTTCAAGTGCAAACACTCTGTAAAATAGCACGTACCTGGAACTGAAGGTTCTCGGTTTTATCCACTAGCAGTTCAATCTTTTCACCCCGATCCAAAACCTGCAAACACAACATGTCTTCAATACATAATTTCACCCAGAATCAGGAAGAAATAACATAATTAAAAAGCATACTGAAGCAAATGCAACATTGATTTTTTCAAACAGACGCTAATTTTCCAGGTTTACCTTTCTCAAAATGTGATTTACATAATCATATCTTGATATATTCCTTCTATAAAATGTTGGCCAAAAACAAGAAAAAAAAAACAGCCACTTCGTATGGCGTGTCAGGAAACGAATCAAGCAAAGGAGCACTTAACTATGATCCACCTTATTAGGATGAACTAATATTTGTTTCTCAATTCTCCCCAAACGAGGCAACCTCTTATTTTTGTGTAAGATCTAAGCACTCACCCACTGTTAGGCAACTTTGACAGCATTCCCTTAGACACTAAAAGCCTAAGACCCGTGATTATGAGGATATCTATCTATCATTAATTCCACATGATAATTTATGAAGTGAACTTATTTGTACCTCATGAACTGATTTTCCATTTGAATAAAACTTGTCCGGGAAAAGAAAATTATGCAGAAAAAACTGCAGTTTGCAACAACAGTTTACTGAGGCAGGTCAAACTCATCAAAGCCCTTCCGGCCATGTAAGCTGGATGATTAAAGAAAATCCCCACCTCACCTAGTCGAGAACTGTCATCGCAGTTTACCTTATAATTTCTTGAACATGCATGCAATCCTCAATTCTTATGTAAATCTCCACCACTAATTAGAAGTAGAATTACACCTTTAGAAATGCAATACAAAAATGCTAATTAATTCTGTGACGTGAATAAAGTGGTGTCAAGAAATTTCACTTTCAGAAGCAAATACATTTTCTTCTGATAATTTTACAAAATGCAAAGACTGTCATTTCGTCCTAGAGTTTCAAGCAATGAGAAATTTTTCAGACAAACCAACTATAGCATTATCACCAAAAAAATTACCAATATTACAAATTCAGATTACTTTTTCAAAAACTAACTCTACATCCAGAGGCTTTAATATTCTCTGGTTGCTGCCAGTTTATGCTTGTATATTTCAATCAACTATGGCTCGATCTAACACTAGTTGGGTTGGTTGTATGGAGCCCCATTGCATTCCAATACTCAATCATTTGTGCTTAAAATGATTACGAGTTCTTTAACACTGGAGGGTTCTCTTATTTTATTTCCTATGCATATAAATCTGTGTAATATGCTAATATAAGTATGACAACAATAACTAACTGAACCCAACAGTGACCCAATTTAGGGCCTTGATTGGTGCTAAATGAGGTATCACCTAGCAAGGCTAGCATTTTCACAACAAAAATTCAGTACTGTCACCTCTGTATCAGGAGCATTCCAGCCACCATCACCACCACCCACAAACCAAAGACACTAGCGATCAAATGTTCAGTACTTGAGTAGTTAGCTGACAGAATACTTGCAAAACATATTCTATAATCCCCAGGACCAAAGTTGGGGAGCATAACTCCAGAAACATGTTTAAAACATCATAATGGAGAAGTCTAACAAAAACAATAGAAGATAATGTGTGGCGCAGCAAGTGTTAGGTTCACTCTATCAATTCTCTCCTAGTGTCACACGTCTATAGTAATAGAATCGAAGTCGATAATACAACAACAGCATACCCAGTGTGATCTCGCAAGTGGGCTCTGGGGAGGGTGGGTGTATGCATTCCTTACCCCTAACTTGTGTGAGGTAGAAAGGCAATTTCCAATAGACCCTTGGCTCAAGAAAAGCCTTTTCAAAAAGTAGGTTACACAAATACAAGAATAAAAACTAAGGTGAAAAGCATCGACGAAAGAAGTACTGACAGCAAAAAAGCAACCCAATTAACAGCCAAAAAAAGGTATCAATTAAGCCATGAATCTACAAATGATGAAAAGAGGGGGTCAATCACATTTGACTGAAGAGTGGATACCTCAACCATAATTGTTTTCTTGGTGACAAGTTTGAAAAGGCATGGGAAACATATTATTAAGATGCACACTGTTGTATTACACTGCTGAGCCTATTTATACTTATATCTACACAGTACTTAATACACCTTTTCCTATGTGGGACACTAAGTCTACTATATACATTAACTATCTAATAAATGTAACATTAAAGTCGAAATGATATATAAACTGGGCAACATTCTTAATACTTTGTACTCTTTATCAAAATATGTTTAGCATCTCAAGTTATGGAAAGTTTGCAAAGTCAAAATCAATACTAGACCTCACTACTATCGTCATCATAGCCATGTCGCCAATAAGTCCTAGTGCGAAACAGACTTGGCGGGTACCTCTTCTATTCCTACTAGCAGAGGCTTTATCAACATTTAAAGCGCCATTGTACAAGTCCACAAGGCTTAAAATTTCCCGCAGTTAGACAACAATAAGCTGACAATTTTACTACCCTTAAATGGTATCGCAATGTTCATATACCTTAGAACAGGTATAGTTTAGTTCACTGCTCTATTTTTCTATAAAGTTTCTATTCTTAGACAATACCTATGAACTTAGCTTGAACTGAATCTGCATCTGCCTCTGAAGCTCTTCTATAAGAGCAGACCTTGTTCCCATCATACATACGAGAATATTGACAATTTGACATAGATAGGTGAACAAACATAATTAAGCACTTATTCATAATATAGACACAAATGCTATCCACAAGTTAATCTCATGTAAGAATTTCATAACTTGTATGTCACTACAATGAAGCTCCTGTTTCAAAATATCACACTTGTTAATAAATCAATGATAATTATATTTGCCTCATGCAACAAACCACTATTGCAGGAAATGTTTTTTAAAGGATATTATAGTTGAAAACGCAAGCTAAAGAAGAGCTACCACTCACAGTACAAGCTTCCTTTTCCCCAAACTTGATGCTTGTAAGCCAACCAATTGACTTCTTCAACAGTCTAGAATCAATTGATTATCAATTGAAGTGTTAATTTGAACAAGATCACAACTATCTTTCTTAGGTCAAACTATAGTTAAATTCCCAATTGTCCAACGTTTAAGGCTAAACCCGCGAGAATACCAATTGCAGCATTAATTTACAATATCCTATTAATTCATATCAAAACTTCATCCAGAAAAGGACACGTTTATGAATTCCCCTAACTTTATCAACCTTAGTTCACACATATTCAATTCTAACGCATTATCTTTGTTTCAATCCATAATCCAGTTTACTATATCAATTAAATAATGAAACCACAAGTTTTTGGGATTAAACTTACCTCTCGGTGCCCAAGAACCCCAAAAACCATGTTTTTAAGAAATTGTTTTCTTACCCAAGTTTAGAGCTATCAAAAAACAAAATCTCCAGCGCACTTTACAAGTTCTGTGGGGTTTTTTTTCCTTCTTAGATTGAAAATAGCTTTTTGCTCTCACCACCTCTCCTCCTTTCACCTCCCTATCTCTTTCTCGATAATTGTTGTCAATGTTCCACTCATAAGAATGCATCACTCATTGTTTTGAGATTTAGATGAGACTGCCAAATGTTCATCGTGAAAATGGGTTGTTATGCTGGGTAAGCCAAGTCTCACTTTGCGTTGGTCAGGACCCCAAATTGGATTGTGACAACGTTGGTATAAAACCGTTGTTGTGCAGCCTTGGGTGATTGTGGAGCTAACCTCAGGTTTCAATTGAGTTTTAGACAAATCTCTCACTATTAAGATAGGTGTTGGGAAACCAGGCAAACGTAAACCTCAACTTAGGTTAGTCGAATCCAATACTTTTGAGATAATTGTGGGATAAACCTCTCAAAGACGTTGATTTTCTATGGGGAGTATATGTAATTACCTAGGAAAATCCTGCATCAGTACACCATGAAAAAGATGCAAGATATATAACAAAACTAACCTTAGACCCTAGTGGCATTCTATATCGGCGATCTAGGCCCAAAGAAGACGATATCACTACTGTGTTGGACTGTAATAAAACACAAGACATATATAATTATAACATCAATAACTAACTTTACTTCTAACTAATATGTATATCCTATATACACCAATTGGTTCATTGTTTTGTGTTATCTATTATCGAGAAGGTAAAGATTTACTGATGGTATACCAGTACAACAATTTGTTACATAAAAAATATGGTCAAAGGCGCACTTCAAGAGTGCTTAAGCCCTAAAGCAAGGTGCAAAATATGTTGGGTGCTTTCTCCCGCTTAAAATGTGTTTCAGCGTCGTCATCAAGTCTCTAAGTCATACTACTTCTTGCCAATGAGTGTCTCCTGAAAGAGGCGGCACTTAACAATTCATATTTCACTTTATCGTAAAAAAAAAATTCAAATTCTTTGTCCATATATTTGTTATTTATTCTTATAATTATTAGTCTTGGTCTAAACATACATATTTGTACTTTCTCTCCATTTATGTTTTTTCTCATAAAAGCACACATTTATTTGTACTTAACGCCCCAATAGACCTTAGAGCTATTTTGCGCTTCGCTTTTAATAACACTGATCAAACTAACTTATACAAAATGGTCAACTACCAGATAGAGTGTAGCTATTCCTGACAATTACTTGGAGTAATAATACCCAGTCATCTTCCCTATTTGATGCAAGAGCCTGATCATCACCAACATAAATTTGGTGTTGTATTCGCTAAGCAAATATTCATTGCGAGAGACAATAGGTCTTCTTACATAACTTACTCCATAGATGCACCCTTTCCATCAAAAATAAAAGAACATTAACACTTTACCTTCTCAATATTGTCCATCATTATTCCTTTGACCTCTGTGATTTGAGCCTTCAATTTAGAGAGCTTGCTCATTTCATCAGGATGGTTCATACAGTACTCCATGTGCTCTTTAAGTTTTGGCCTAGCAATTCCAGGATAAATAAATCCAAATTAATTGGCTGATTTTGGACTCTATACTAAGTCTAGCTGCTACAAATATATTATAAATTGTAGGTGAAAAAAATTAAATATACACACCCAAATTCTCTGTCAAGATTGTACGCAATGCTAAAACGATCCCCAAATAGATCATCATCTTCTTCATTATCATCAGCAAGAGGATGTGGATCGCCATCATTTTTTATACTTGAACCATAACGTTTCTTGAAATCATCCTTAACCCTTTCAAGAAACACAAACGGTACACTTCTTCCTGTTGGTTCATCAGCAACAACTAGGAAGACTACAAAATTGTGTTGGTAGCAAACTAGTCAGAATCCAGTTAACTAGAAATAAATTATATACAACATAAAAAAATATAAGAAGAATGAATACCAAATCCACTATCTAAAAGGAAGTTGAAGGTGTGACCATCGCATGAGTATGTATACTTGCTACTATTTGAAGGGAGCTTCTGCAAGCACTGGACAGCAATGGTACTAAAGTTCCCTGAATAAGGTGTATGCTCGGCTAGAACAACAGTCCCTCTCGCAACAAAACTATAAATCAAACCTTTTGGATTCATTTTCAATCACAACTCCAATTTGATGCCTGTAATTCAAAAAGACCAGTCTTAAATCCCTTACTAAGATATGCAAATATCTAACACAAAAAAATCAGCTTTTCCATGCGATTAGCACTAGACTACCACATTCAACTTTTCCATCAATAATGCTTCAAAATTAAAAAGGAAATGAGTAAAGCTACAAGATCGTTCAAGGGGTTGCTGGGGATGAAGAAAGACAAACAAAACATAGACAACAAATGGACTTCATCCAAAAAGAGAGACAAGGTGGAGTTTTGGAAAATTGTATAAAGATTCAATTAGTACAAGTGAGAATCCAATGAACTTTCTGGTGGTGTGTGCCTGCGGTGGATACTAATTCACTTAAATCTTACATTTCTGAGACCAGAAAGGAGCAGAGTAAACACGCAATTCTCGTGGCTGAAGCTGTGGTGAGATTGACCAGCCAAATCAGAGGTGCATGCAAATATCCCACATAAAAATGAACACACACACCATAAAAAAACTTTTTCGAGAGATTAGAGACTACAACATTCGCCTTAAACTAAATTGATTATGCTTCAAACTTAACAAAAAAAAGATTCTTCAAGCTGATATTTTTAGCATCTATCAGAAAAAAACCTCGCTTGTACTTTCACCGAAGTCCTCAATTTCTAGAGTCTAAATGTGGGAGAAAATTAGGGAAAACATAATATGATACGCGCAAACTCAAATATAATAACCGAACAGAGAGTCAAATCAAAAATATGAATCTACAATTCAAATCCGTACAAGGAAGATCAAATTATATGCAATTAACTACCGTAGAAACACCAATATCATAGCAATTATCAATACTTCCGATCAGATCCTCGCCGACAAAGTTCAAAATAGACAATTGCTAGAAACAATTTGTGCCAAAAAATTGTGGAAAATTACATAAACAAGAGAGAGAAAGAGAGTACCTGAGATTGGAAAAATGGCGATTACTTAGTGTACACGACTGAAAATGGAGCATAAGATTTCGCAGACGAGCGAGGGTGGGTGGGTGGGGTGGGGTTTGGTGGGGGAGGGGGGGTCTTTGTCTTTAACAGCGATGGAGTCGAGGAGTTGAGGTTAAACTGTATTATGAATTATGATTAGCAGTGTTAATTTGACTTTAATTAAACTGGTTGAGCGGTTTACAATACTTTACATACGTAAGGGCTGGGCATTGTACGTTTTGGTAATTTCGTTTTTTGTAAATATTATATTATTAACTTATTTTCATATTAAATTAGATCGGTATAGTTTGGAATTTTTGTTTTAATTTCGAAAATTTTAATACCTCATTTGATTATATTTATGCTAAATTACACAAACATCCAAAAGGGAGAAATGAGATGCTAAACTTATACAATGGGTTCTTCGATAATTTGACTTTTGAAATAAATATGAATTCTTCTAAAAAAAAAAAGAAATTTTCTTTATTCTTTTGTTATAAAGGATAATTGATTAGCTACATGATATTTTTCTCTTCTTTTTTTTTTTTCTGATTTGATCATTTGATAATTAAAAATCATAGAACGACTAATCTAAATTTTCATGAAATATCCTATAAAGGAGGATCGAAAAGCTCCATACCAAAAAGTTCTTCGTTCGCTGGGTATGAATTTATTGGTTTAGAAAGTTTAACCATCTCATCTCATTCTTTGATGCAGAATCTTACGGAGTTTTCAATTAATGCATTCATACTTACTATGTTTTGATATGTTTTTCTTTAAATGATGGTTTATTGAAAATAAGATGTATACATACTCTACCCTCTTCATATCAACTTGGGAATTATATCAGATATGATGCTGCAATAGCGTTCATACCTACTATGTCAATATCCGCTCAATATAATTTGCCTCTACCTCACAAGACGTGAGTATAATCTGCATATACTGATTACCGCACCTTTGCCAAATTTCTCGTGAAATCACATTAGATATGTTGATGTTGTTGAACATTTATTTATGATTTTAGACAAACACTATAATGATGGAAATGAAATAGGGGGGAGAGGGAGGGGGCAAGTGAGGTAGGAGTGTGTTAGGGGGTTGACATGGTAGGGTAAGGGGTGGGGGACTCGAGCACTAGAGTGTTTGAGCCACATTCCGTACATCTCGATTACCTGCTATTTCCAACCAACATATATATTGGTAATTTCATTTTTTTGTAAATATTATTTTATCAAATAGTTTTCATATCAAATTAGATCGGTATAGTTTGGAATTTTAAAGTTTTAGTTTTGAAAATTTTAATAGCTTAGTTGATTATATTTATGCTGAATTACACAAACACCCAAAAGGAAGAAATAAGATGCTAAACTTATACAATGTATTCTTTGGTAATTTGACTTTTGAAATAAATATGAATTCTTCTAAAAAAAAATCTCTTTATTCTTTTTTATAAAGGATTACTGACTAGCTACGTGATTTTTTTATTTTTTTTTTATTTTATGATTTGATCATTTGATATTTAAAAATCACAGGACGACTAATCTAAGTTTGCATGGAATAGCCTATAAAGGAGGATCGAAAAGCTCCATACCAAAAAGTTCTTTCACGAGCTGAGTATGAATTTGTTGGTTTAGGAAGTTTAACCATCTCATCGCATTATGTGATGCAAATTCTCACGAAGTTTTCAATTAATGCATTCATACTTGCTCTGTTTTGATATGTTTTTCTTTACATGATGGTTTATTGAAATAATTTGCCTCTACCTCATAAGACGTGAGTAAAATCCGCATATATCGCACCTTTGCCAAAAGATTTTGTGAAATCACATCAAATATGTTGATGTTGTTGAACATTTATTCATGATTTTAGACAAACACTAAAATGATGGAAATGAATTTATTTATTTTTTGGGAGGGGGGGGGGGGTTACAAGTGAGGTAGGAGTGTGGTAGGGGATTGACATGGTAGGGTAAGGGGTGGGGGACTCTAGTACTAGAGTATTTGAGCCAAGTTCTACACATCGGTTACCTGCTATTTCCAACCAACATATATACCGAATACCTCTCCCCATCAACAATTGGAATCTTGATCACCAAAATTTCCCTCACTCACTTCATTGACCGCTAAATCACGTTTGGAAACCCCCTCCTATCTAAGGCTGGCTACACATACTAATTACTATGTAATGCATATTATATGCACCATGTAGCTCAATTTCCACTATAAACACCAAGTTTTGCTACTCTGATAGACAACATTGCCTTGACATAATATATATAAGACTTGGAGACAAAGTAAGAGTCGTCAACTTGCAGAACACAAATATCCAAGAAAATTTAATAGGCCCCAAGATGGATGCTTTCTTAACAAGAGCGAAAATCTGGAAAGAACCTAAAATCTCAACCTTTACCCAATCGCTATGTTGCTCAAACTCTCCAAAAATATTGTCACACCAGTGTTGGATTCTCCAAAATGCACTACTTTTGGAATATCCGACACACACCTGTAGACTTATTGAAGAGTCCAAGCAACATAGCCCAACAATAGTCATGTAAATAACTAGACACCAGCAATAACTACAAATTATTCCCACAGCAATTTGAAAGTATTCAAGATTTGTATCTCAAATTCTAAAGTAGAGAACTAAAGCACATAGCCAACAGGAATAAGTTTTTAACCACAGAAAGCAGACAGTTATATTATAACAACATAGCCACAAATACAGCTTTTTAAAGAAACTGTTGGAAGTCCAAATTTTTTTGGGTGCACTTAGCACTGAAAATGAGTTCAGTTTCAGTCTTGAAGAACAACGTAAAACATTTATGAAAACAATCACTAGACAGGGTTGGAATTATAACAGCATATTCCAACCATGAATTTAGAATGGTTTATCTTCCACTTAACCAAAATCATCTACTGGTCTTAGGTGGATGATTCTTCCAAACAATCCATACGTTCAAGGTTTCACACCGTTAATAGTTGGATCGAGACCTCGGGTTTCCTTCACATGATCCACATATTCACTGTACTGCATAGTAAATAATGTGCTCTGGTATCGAGTTAGATGGATTTGCTTCCTCAATGATTCTGTTATAGGTCCATTATAACCTGCTTTGCGTATCAGTGAGTCAATTGCTTCTATAACGGTCCACCCTGGAGACAAAATTCAGTAAGTTCATCTTGCAGCTCAACTAGTTCAACAAGTGCCAGAAAAACTTAAATAGACGAGATGCACAACATTCTGTGTCGGTGATAGGTAAGGGAGAAGAAAATTACCTTCATGAGCAGCCACCTCAGGTAGGTACGTGGCATTTCTTCTTGTGTTATAGTTAGGGTCAGTAAATTCAATAATTATCCCATGCTTCCCTACCTGAACAAAGCCATTACATTCCTGAGAACAAAATACTACTACAGCAAACCAACAAGAGAGAAGCAGTTGTTGAGAAAAAGGGATGCAAGTAGATAAAAAAATTCTCATATGATTATGTCAACAATGACGAGGATTTACACACTGACGAATCATGACCACCGACCACCTTACCCAAGCAAAAGAACATACAGAAGGTGAATCATCTAAAAACCAATAGGAGAGTTTCGAAAATGTAAAATGACGACTGATTTTTGATTTCAGAATTTGGATTGGCATGAGGGAGAAAATGAAGAAAAGACGACTGTGTTCTAAGCTTCACGTTACATGTTTAGGGAGTTATACAAGTCCAAAGGCAGATTTGATTGTCATGCTTGTGTAACAAATTTTTAATAGCACGTCACTCCAAACAAAACTAAGCTCTACCATCCCATCCAAGTACAGTATAACGTCTTAGAAACAAATAATGCAGACAATGTTTCAACACCATTCTAAGAAGTGAAATCTGACGGTCTAAATTATGGCAAAATTTGCTTCTTATTTGAATTCTTTTGGTGCTCATGAATTTGCTCCACAAAGCCATGACCCAATCACAAAAAGATATATGTCAAGCGTACAAACATGTTCATATCCTCCATGATTTAAGAATCAGAGATTCAAAGTAAGTTCAAAAGCAGTACCTCCCAATCAAGGTAGTTAGCTGCAGTCTCATAATTAGTGAGAATTGAAACTGTACACTGTAAAGTAGGTAACTCTTTAGCCTGTATCGGAGGAAAACGACGGTCCTTGAGAGCACTGCAGATGAATTCAAATATGTAAATACGTAGATACAGTGTCATAAGATATAACATAAGTTTTTATTTAGGCCGGAACAAAATTTAAGAAAATAAAAGCAGCAAGCAATTCACTTTCTTAAGAACCCAAGAGTGTGACAAACTTAAGGTTTCAAAGCAAGTCAGCACAAGGAAAAGGAAGTGTAAAACGTCATTTATACTCAAACAGTGAAACCGAAGAGATTAAAGTGCAAAAAATCTCAAGATTCATTTTTCTGCACACTAACATACTGAATCATGAGTATAGTACAATACCAATATGAAATAGAATGCTTTCAGACGCCCAAGAAGTGTCCAATAAATTGATAGAAAATGTATCAAACATACACATGCCAAACAACTAATGTAATCCTTCAAACAGTTTTGCCAATAATAATCAGCTTTGATTCAACAAATTCTTTGTCACATAATGATGCTCAATTATCTTAATATCATTCCTATTTATTAGCTAACAAACATGAAATAGAATTGCAAAGAGAAAAATAAAAGTACTTCAAATATAAGAACTTTACTTGCAATTTACCTTGTCAGAGCATAATCCTTAAAGCCATTAACAATGCAGCGAGCTTCCAGAGTGCCAATGCATCCGCGCAAACGAGGCTCCCCACCATTCACCACTTTCTTCCAAGTCACAAACAGCGGGCTGAAATGCAGTTTGAGCATGAGAGCAAAATCCAAATTTATTTTTGTATTGGTTTGCCATTTCATGAGTTACAGATGAAAGACTAAGAATGATGTTAGCTTACAAAAAGGGACACCCAAAAATCCTTACCCCGTCCAAAAGCAGATGCGTTTTCCAACTTATTAAGACTATAAAGAACATTTTGTCATGAGAACAAAATACATAGACAGTTAATA